AGACGGTCAGGCCTAGCTTGGCAGCCGTCTCGTAGCACAGTCGCGACTGCTCGGCGTTCTCAGCGATCGGCTTCTCGGAGAACACCATCTTGCCGGCGTCGAGCGCCTGCTGGATGACCTCGAAGTGGGTGAACGTGGGCGTGGCCACCACTACCGCGTCCACCCTGCGGGCATGGGGCGAGGTGGGAGAGGGGAGAGCGCCGGGAGGTGCGACGCCATTATTGGTGACGTGGGTTGCAGTGTTGGTGATAAACAGCTGTTGGGATATGGCCGACTATCAAGTGGCGTTGCTAAGAACCCGCTACAGACACATTAGTTGAGAGTTAACAAGCTCTCGTGTGGGGTGAACTGACCACGAAGGTTTTCCAGAATATTCTCTGGACAGTGTATTATAGCCGGGCCTAACTTTGCATGGCTTTAGAAAATTAAACAGCCAATCTTTTGGTTGCGAGCAATTCAGGTGCAACTGATAAGGCTGCTGACCCATAGCAGATCAAAGGCAGACCATGGCTCTCAGCCAAGGCCAGTCTCACTGAATTGCTCAGGCTACTGCGACATCAGAGTGTTAGGCGATGCTATACGTTCTCCAGGTGGTTTCTTGGACCATGCAACATTCAACTTAGTATTGGGGCTAACTGCATTGACGATAAGTCAGGTACGAAGGTCAGGCCAAGGTCAAAACCGAATCGTTCTTCCAAAGGAAAACTTGCTTCATGGCGTAGGTTTTACGCTCAAATCCAACTTTGTGATCATATGAGCGTCAACTGGCACCATATTTGGGCTTCCTAAAGGTGAAAGGTTGTCGCTGACCCAAAATGAACCCACTCTGTTTTGTTTTTCATTTCAGGAACTTACCGCACCGTAATGCTTAACGTTTAATTAGACTAACAGATGAAAAAAATATCGCAGGCTTTCAGTCGTCGTAACCTCCTGCTGGTCAAATAACGTCACTGAACTGACATGATCAGCAGTGACCTTTTGCTTAGAAGCGATATCCACAGACAGGAGGTAAGAGGTATCCTGGATACCCATTCAGGTGAAAGGTGGTTGCATGAGAAGGTTTGAGTGTACCTCGGACAACGATCTGGAATCTGACCTTGTTTGGCCTTATGTAACTCAAAGGTCATGACATAAAATCCTAAAAAAATCTGACACATTTGAGTTCACGTACATGCCTTTCTATCGTGTGGATCTGTGCATCTAACTCTCTTAAATTCTGAGATCTTAGGGGAGGGGTTGATCTCCCTCCCAAGCACATCACATTCAACCGGCCACCCAGGTGCGTGTTAACAGACTAGTAAATGCCAGCGTGTTTTGGTGAGAGCATGCTTGCCCGATTGAACATCGAAAACACTGCACCTTTCGCAGCTTGACCACTGTTCCCAGCAGGCAGCAGTAGCACCGTTATGCATTCAGACGGCTGGCGTAAACCGAGTTTGCATTTGCCTTCAAGCTCGTTTCACTGACATTGTCGTACACCTCTGCTCACTCAGACATCACCATCTCACCTGTTTGGAGAAAAACAATACGTCAACTGGCACACCCAAATGCCTCTGCATGAGACTCAACAGGCACCTCACGCTCCGCGCGCACCTGTCGCTTGCACGCTGCACGAGGTAGTGAGGTCACTCATGCGCCGCGCGGCCCGCACGGTTCCCCATGCCAACCGGTGCCTGACACACCCCATGCCATTCGGTTCCTGACACACCGCGGAGTGCGCCTGCCACCGGCCATCCTGACCTGGGGTCGGCCAGGGCGGTGGCGCTGTCCTGAGGGAGCACGAGCGCCGGCGTGCGGTCGCCCCAGCGTGCGCGCACCGAGTCGTAGCGCGCCCTCTCCATCTCCACCACGTAAAGGAGCGATACGCGTGGGTTTGCCAGCAGATTGCTCAGATGAATCATGCCTGGAAACGTGCCAGGTGTGAGATGATGGCGGCTTGCCAGCTGGGTGACATCAGACGGAGCGACACGACGGCATTAAACAACGTTGGCGACACTTTGACGTAATGGCGTAATTTCGGTGGCACGATAGCATTAAGTGGGGAACTGAGGGAGTTTGAGATCCACTGGAGGAGTCATGGTCGTTGGGCTAAAGTAAATCAGCCTATGCTGGTTCATGCGCGAGTCCCCACGAATTGGAAACGCTCAAGATGCAATGGGCCATGCGTTTGCCTGTCGTGTTTAATTAGTTTCAATCCTGAGCGTCTCTAAAATCACGTTCAATGCATCAGTCCAGCCTACCGTCTGTGCTGGTGTTCTAATGGCGTCTGTTTACAGGAAGCAGAAACTGCATTATACCTGCACGCCCCAGTCCAAACAGGACCATTCCGATTTGATTCTTGTGGGCGACTTTGATGGCGTCATCGCTGCTGATATCATCGGCAGCGGCTGGTGTGACGTTACCCACGAGCGTACAGTATCTGTAAAACGTGCTCTCGGGCACTGAGGTCAGATGCAACGCTTCTTCTTGGGGGCAGCGTTCTTCCTTTCACCAACGTCCATCAGAGAACGGGGGTGAAAAGGTAGCTATATTCGGTCGAGGTCCCCTTCGCGAAGTGCAGCGTCACGACACTGGTGGTCGGGTCTCGTCCGCTTCTCTCTGACCGTCACCGCCCGTCTGACGCTACGCAGGATGCGTCAGACTATATGCGGAGGGGCCGCTGGGGGGCGCCGGTGTGCGGCCTCCAAACACTGGGGATGGGGTGTTCTAGAACCTTCCACGTTGTGCAATACTAAAGCGCATGTGAGCCCGCATGAAGCAGCAGCAGAGGCGCGCTATGTTACAACCCTTGCAAAAAGCAACTACGACTACGAGTAATCACATCCGGCTTATCTAATAATTGGCATACAGAGTAAACAGGACAATGCATCTGCGTCGAACGAGAGGCGGTCTGAGTGCGTTTTTTTCGTTTGCGAGCCGAGCATCCGGCTGACGCGTTGATAATGGCGCAGTACTGCCGCGTATTCGGTTACACGTTAGCTCGGTTACACGTTACACAGAGGCGTGAAAGGACAACTGCCTTCT